GAGGAAACCTCTTCTTCTTAATGCTCCCTTTATGGGGCAAAATGATCACCTCAGCATGCGAAGCATCTCTGGGCACTCCCAACTGCAAAACAGCTGCAGAAGTTGGGAGGGGCCGGGCCAGATCCTGGCTGTAAATAAATCTCTGTTAGGCAAGAAGGCATGGGCTCTGCCTTTTCATGAAGCGTGTTAGGAATTTGCTCAGTTTGTTGTAGGGGTGCAGGCGTGTGGTCTGAAAACTGGGCTCCATGGGTGAAAAGCATTTGAATTCCTGCTTTTTGTATAAATTGCTAGTTGCCATCTGAGAGAAGCAGTGAGGGCACCTGCTTCACCTACTGCTGGCAAAGGGCATTGCCCCCCAGATTGCTGTGGGGAGGGCAGGGGAGGTATTCGCTACTACGTCTGCTTGGTGCAGCCCTGCTGATTCCCTTCTGCACGAGGAGTATGTCCGGCCCTCCCGAGCCTTCAGCGGGGTGCGATCACACGTGAGGCCCGCTCTTCTGGACCCCAGAGCCATCGGTGATATGGCTTTAGCTCTTCTCTGCTGCTCTTGGGGGTGCGCAGGGCAAGTTCTTGTATTTGGGAGGGTTAGGGCATAGGTTTGTACTGGATGTGCTGGATGAAGAGATATTGTGGGGTTTGTGCCCCTACACCTCATGCTAACCAGCATGCTCTGCCTGGCGCGGCAGCAGCCAGAAGTACGTACCTTCCTGTTAAAAAGAGGGCAGGTAAAGTCTGCGGGGTGCAGTGCTGTGCCTGTGAGGGTGCCTCTGAAGTACGGGGATCCCTCCTGGTGTGGAAGCTCTGGGTACACGTGCTTGTGGGATTGTGCACCTCCCTCTGGCATGCAAATAAACATCCTGCTTTCTTTTCCAGAAACCTCAGTGCTCTGAACAAAAAGTCCTTCCACAGGAAGGTCTCTTCTGAAAGCTTCCTCCTGGACTCTCGCTGTTGGTTTCTCCTCTGCATCTTTCTTACGTGTCAACTATTCATTAATTATGTCTTCAAATAAAATCACTACGTTTGGCAGCAATAACGATTACTGGCTGCAGGAGGGGGGCCACTCACGCAAGGAGCCCAGCGAGGCACCAAAGCACTTTAGAACCAACGTGGCAGAGGCGGAAGAAGGTTGAAAAATGAGGTTAAAAAGGGACCTAGGAACCTGCAAAACTTTGTTCCTGCAGATTATGTCATTTTTGCCTTTTACGTGTACATCTTCAAGGACCTCTTAACCTGTACGGGCCTTAATGCTGAAGCCAAATGTAGCTTTAATTGTGCAATTTGTTTTCTATGTCTTGTCATTTTCTGATGCAATTAATAATTACCCAACAGTATTGGTACCCCCAAAAAGGTAAACACCCCAGCATTTTGGAAGGGTCACATCGGCCTGGTTCATAGCTGTACGGGTGAGGGAGGGCTGTTGGGGAGCTGTAAAGAACTGATGTCCACGGTCCCTGTCCAGCTGCGCCTAATTATGGGAGGGAGCACACTTGGTCCAAAAAACCCACCCCTGGGATATGAAGTCATGATCTGTTTTGTCAGCCCACACAGAATGGGACCTCAGGATGTGTTTTATTTTCCATTCCACAGGAACTGTAAATATGCCCAGTTGCCTAGAGCCATTCCTCTTTAGGAAGGGGACAGTATTCGGTGAAAGCTCCTCGTTTGGTTGCGGAGCTGACTGGTGTCCCGGACCGGGCCCATCGAGTGTAACGTCAGACACACCTGTTTGTAAAACCTTGTCATTACTGTTATTATTTGCTATATGGCTGTTTTATAATATCACACACTAGCATTGTAGAGAGGAATCCACTGCCCCAGGATCGGTGAGAGGGATGGGAGCAATATAGGTGTACGTGTGTTCAGTCTTAGGCACATTTAATGTCAAAGGTCAGGAAGGAGGAAGGGTTTTGCCACTGCATTGTGCAACTCTGTTAATAGTCTTCCTATTTTACACCATTTTTTAAAGATTTGCAATATTTTCTGTAGACTGCGGACAATACTAAGCCTTTCTTTTCTGGCCTGAAGTAGTTCCAAGTGGTAAGTACTGCTATATATACAGCCTTAAAATACTTAGTGGTGGTGCCAGTCTGGGCTATCTTTCAATGTACATGTTTCCAAATTTTTAAGTACATTCCTCGTCATATTCCCCAGTTAGGGGAAACCTGTTTGTGCTTGATATGTTGAAATAAAACTACACACAACTTTCAGTGGCAGTCTATCTGACAAACTATTTGTGTGTGTGAATTCGGTTTTGTGTTTTGTAGCATTTTACAAGTAAACAATTCTTAGGCCATGCTTTTGAGAGGACAAGTTACCGGAAAAGGCCTTCAGGAATCTCAGACCGTAGGCCATCAGTTAGAACAGCAGTAGCATTTTGACACCCCTCTGGCTCAAATCGTTTGTGTCTTCTAATTGTAGCAAATTCCTCAGAAAGAAAAGCGGTTGCCTTGATTTTCACTGCCGTACATGTGGATGTATAGACTTGTCTTAGACTTAGAAAACCTTTCTATTAAGGAGGTAACTTGATGATAGAGAGTAGATAGTTCCATGGAATGAACTACTACTCTCCGACATGAACAGACAGGATAAAAGCCGGCATCTGGAAGCTGACACTCAAGAAATAGATCACAAAAAATAAAGGGTGAGAGCGATTTCATTATTAGCAAAAGTCTTCAGAAAACCAAAGGATTCTTCATCCTTGAGGAATCATCCTTGAAGAATGTCAACATTATCAATCCGGATTGGGTGCCCTTTTGAAGGACGTCATCCTAGTCACTCCTTTCTGAGCAAGTCTGACCCATGCTACCTGCGGCGTAAGACCCAGTGAGAGGGGGTTCCCCTGGCCTCTGCCTTGTGACAGAATGTCCAGCCGCTGACAGAGCCTGTCTGGCAATGCAAAGTCCCCACGAACCTTGGCAGCATTTGCTCCTGATGCTGTGCAAACACGTCTGCCAATTTCCTGCCTCAACCTCCCTTTGAATGCTCCAGCAAGTCAGCACACCTCTGGCCTGTCAGCACGGCCATCCCCATCACACATGTCCCCCTCTGCGACCATGTATTCGAGTCCTCTCCTGTGGGGGTGTTTACATCTCTTGGGTACAAATGTATTCCGGGTTTGAGAAATAGTTAACTAAAAAAAAAAAATAAATCCCAAACCCACCTGAACCGAAGCGAAGCAGTGCTGAGCAGGAAGCCTTCCACAGGTGTGAAGCAAATGCTTGGAATTCTTTGGATCTTTTCCATTTTATCAAATTACGCATCCACGGGGATTTCATTGGGACTTGTTGCTGCAGTTTAATAAAACAAACGCTGTTACCACGAGAGGAGCAGTTCAGTGAAAGAAACTATTAACCTACATGAACTAATTATGCATCAGCAGAGGAGGAGTTTCCAACATTTACTGCTGCTGCTGCAGGCGATTAAAAACAATCCAGAAAGGAACAATCTATAATCTTAGTGCTATTAATTTTAATCCAATTTCAACATCTGGAGGTGAGTGTTCCTACACGCCAGTACGTGCACGTGGAGGATGAAAGGTATTCTTGCAGAAAATCGTGGCCAGAAATGTTGTTACTTCTCTAGGAGGAATAACTTTCAGGGCTTTAGAAGACCCAGTTATGCACATAGTCCGTGCAGTTTTGGAAGAACTCTCCTTCCACCCTTTGCCCCCCCTTTAGCCCTTCAGCGACGCGTGAGCTTTGGGCGGAGGGACACGAGTGGGGCCGTTCCCTAACATGGTTTCCTGCGGCTCCCAGTCGGCGCAGAGCAGGGCGCCGGGGCACGTCCCGGGGCAGGACGTGGCTCTCCGGGACTCCAGCGGTGTGGCACACGATCTCGGGGTGTCTCGCTTCTTCTCCCCGAGGGCTGCGAAGCTCCGGGGCAGGGCGGCG